CATTACTGTTCCTCCAAATGGCATCACTGTTTAAAGTCTGATAGTAAAAAACTGGATAGGTTGCATGAACGAGCACTTCGTTACTTGTACAGTGACGAGTCTTCACAAACTAGCACTCTTTGTGATCGTATTGGTTACAGCCTTGTGGAATAATTAGCAATTTATTCAATTCATCAGCCCCGCTCTTCCCTGCTACATTATCAAGCCCTCCCCGGACTTTCAGTTAGTTAAATATTCATGAAGTATGTAAGTTAAATAAAGGATGTTGAATAACAAAAGCAAATGTGTGATTCATGAAATAATGAAAAGCGTAGAATACAATAGAGGGTTAAAATCAAACCGCTTCTTCTCAGTAAACAAAAGATTGAAAAAAATCGCACCTCCTTTTTACTGGCCCGCGAGTTTTAAACCACGGCTCAATGCCCCCACACTGATATTATTTATAGCTCTCTTCGAGTGAAAATTACAGGTGCTTGGTGCTGAAGATCTTCAACTCGCTATATACTTGTGCAACTTTTCGGACAGGGTTAAGCGAAACAACTCGATCTATAAAAGCAAATTTTCCGTCGGCGATGAATACACTGAAAGGAATAAGAAAACAAAAGACTAAAAAAATCGCAGCTCCCTTTTACTGTGCCGCGAAGTTAAACAAGACACTTACTTATCAGTAAAATTTACTGTTCCGACTTCAAGTAAAAATTACACGCTTCTCTAACAGCCTAAAGATGCGGCTGTAATTGCTTACTTTCCGGGCAGAGTCAGACGAAACTAATCGATCTATAAAAAGCAGATTTCCAGTTGGCAGTGACACGAGTAAGTAAACTAAAGATTAAAAAAAATCGCACCTCCTTTTTACTGGCCCGCGAGGTTTAAAACACGGCTCAATGCCCCCACATTTACAGATAAAATTAATTGCACTCTGTAAGCAAAAACCACACGCGCTGATGCTAACTTATCGCACATGCAAGTGCTGTATAATAAGCAACTGTTCAAGGCCATTTTGAGAATTCCGTAATATGAGACCATACTAGCCTGCGTAGCTGGCGGGGAGACAATTTTCCACAGGCGTTCACCTGTAGAAGGGGTTTGAAGTTTTCGATTCCGGGATTTTTTGCATTGGGTGGCTTGTTTTAAGTAGGAGGTAAGAAGGTTTTTGTTTGTTTGTTTGTTTGTTTGTTTTTTTTTTGGGGGGGGGGTTATTTAAAAAAATGTGAAGATTCGTGGTAGTGCCTGCGTTTTCCGGCCACGTTGTTCTGGAAAGGGTTTTTTTTCCTCTTTCTCTACTGTTTTTTTCTTTTGGGGTATTTTGTTTTCAATTTAATGCTTGGTAATTTTTTAGGGTTGGGAATTTGGGATGGGGTTTTTGGGGGGGTTATTTTTGGTTCCGGGGTTTATAGGTTGCATGAACGAGCACTTCGTTACTTGTACAGTGACGAGTCTTCACAAACTAGCACTCTTTGTGATCGTATTGGTTACAGCCTTGTGGATCGACGTATCCAGAACTTGTTAATTATTGTATTTAAGAGAATTAACAATTATCCACCTGAATATCTGAGAGACCTATTTAGGTTAAGAGATAACATCAAAAACCTGAGAGGGGTTAACAAGCTGCAAGTACCGAAACCTAATACGACTCGTTATGGCAAGTACTAACTAAAGTACTTGGCTTGGAACAAGATTTCTGATACCTTAAGATCGCTAATCACATTGTCAGCCTTTAAAAAAGCGGTCCGACAGGTAAGGTTTTAGCTAATTCTATAAAATATCTATGTTCTATTAAGTAATTGGGCTTTTTATTGTAAATAGCTATGTCACGTAATTTTTAGGCTTTCTACTGTAAATAGGTTTTTGGCTTTCCTTTTCTTTCTCTATTATTTTATTTATTTGTCTTGTTTTATTTGCTTTTTTTTTCTCTCGGCTTACTAGCATATTTTTTTACTAGAGGTCTAACCAACCTCATCAAACCCGAGATTAAATAAAGCTTCATTCATTCATTCACTTATTAGAATTAAAATCACATATTATTCTTGTATGTAAGAGATAAAGCCCGAGAACGGAGGTATTAAGCCATATACATCCCGAGGGCCGTAGGCCCGAGGGATGTATATGGATTAATACCGACGTTCGAGGTGTTTATCTAACTTATTTCATGATATTATTCATGAGGTATAGGTTACATAAAGGTCGTCTTCACAGGGCAATAATTGGCCACTTGTTTTTGACATCTGTTTGTTTGTCATTTTTTGATCCGACCGCGGACAATGACGTATTTCATTGTAAGTATTGTAAAGGTTTTCACATAGCATCGAGAAAGGGCGTTTCACGGGTCATAATTTGTTCAAACCACTTGTTCTCACTTAGGTGAGAAACGGAGAACAATAGCGCATTGTTTGTTTGTTAAGCCGACAACAATCAAATTTCAAACCTTTTGTGTTTTTTTATTTTTGTCTTGGTATTTTTTGGGGGGCCAGTACACTTGTGAGAGCGGCAATGGATAGTGACGACGAAATTTTCCAAACGCAAATACTTTCTCTCAGGAGCCTTTTT